GAAGGTGGCAGGTTTTAATCACAGGAGGGTTCTGCACCCTTGAGGGAGTAATGTACCCTGTAATCCTGATGAAACAGATCACTTGTATAAATGGACAAAGACGCCCAACTGCATAACTCACATATAAGGTTTGACCATCTGGCTGCCATAATTGATGCATACAGAACACTTTAGCAGACTGTCTCTGGCATTTATACATATGTACTTTTATTATCTATCATTTATTTTTATCCTACAACCACCCCCCCCCCACCAATTAATTTATCTTTACTCTCTTTTTTTCATATTAAACTGTGGACGTGACAAATATGAATCTTGAAATCTGGAGGCATCGATCACCTTGGCAAACTGAGGTTACATGGGCGCCGTTTAATCATCCAAGGACCAGGAACCCGGTATTCTCTGCAGGCGCGGCCGGTTTGTAAAAGCTGCCAGTTACAGGGCTAAAAATGTGAGGCGTGTGAAGTTTAAGAACCTGCATGACTCCTGTCAAACCAACTCCTGCCTTAAGCAACAAAATAGCAGATAATTATATTCGGAGGGACAGAGCTGCAGTTTCACAGGTCAGCTAGACACTTGGGGATTTTAATAGCAAGGATTCCTGCTAAGCACCCCGGCTCATGGATACAAACTGGAGCCCCAAGGAATAACTATGCATTATGGGTAAAATGCTCAGCCCATTATTGCCTGGATTCTCCTTGGGGGGGAAGCCTCCAGGGAGGGGCACTTGCGGGATCTGGAACAAACCGTCAACCACCCCTTCCCGTCCACCTCCACTGTGAACAGCATAGATTTGCAAAGGACACCCCCGTCCCCCAGAAACACAGCCACAGCAGGCAGATTATGCTGGGGCACCAGAGCACTCAGTCGTGGGATTGGAGGTTTTGGCCGAGCGAGGGTCCTATAATTGAAATAGTGTTCGCTGCTGCACTGTCGAGTGGGCGGCCGGGCGTGCGGGGGGGGCGACTGGGAGTCCTGTCAGGGCACCAAGGCTTTTAGCACTCTGGGAGCGAGGCAGGAGCCGGACCAGAGAAATGAGAATTTAACGAGGGTGTCTCTGCGGCGTCCGGTGACTGACGCCGAGCCCCAGCGTCGTCCCGGATGGAGGCACTGGGGAAATAAGCTGGAACTTGAAGCCAGGCCAGTTAAACCGCAGAGCCGGCCGATGTCGACCCGCCTTTAACCCACAGGTTAGGGAAGATACGCATGGCGGCGCTCACACTCAGAACCGGAACCAGGAATCCCAGGTCCGTACAGGGCTCAGAGCGGACTCCATCCGCTGTCTGACAAGAGGTTTCATTACTGTTCAGGGAAATGGTGAATCAGTGTCCCCTTTGACCAGCCACCTGCAACAATGTACATTCCGGAAACCCACCATAAAGGCGACAGAGACCTACAGCCAGCACGCATCTAAAAATACGGCAGATTCTGTCACAGGAACCCACGTCAGTGGGGGGGGGGGGGGCGGCCTCCTGACCACGCACCCTGTGGTTGATTATCTCCCAGGGCCGCCCCCCCGCCCATTGTTCTCCTCGGAATGGAAAGGGCCCGGCTGCACCCTGCCGAACACCAGCACTTCCTGAGAATTTAACACCCACCAGAAAGACCTAGAAAACACAATTACTTCCAGATAATTTCAGGTGAAGCCATCAGCCTCAACGGAAGGATGTGGGCGGGGTCATACGTCAACAAGCGATTTAGTTGCGCCCTGCTTTTCCTGCTTTCTCATGCTTGATGGTGTGAAGGAATGGTTCCCCGATCATTTGCGCATCACTGATCTCCACACATCCCGATCCCGCAGGGGTCGGGACGGCTTAAGCCACTGGGGGACTCTCCCACGTCACAAATCCCCGCGGCCATCAGCATTTGGCTTGGAGACAAGTCAATCCTGGCTGCCATGCTCTCTGAACCCATGCCCTGCTGGAGGAGCCAACGCCTGGCAGAGTCAGTGGACCCCCCCCCCCCCAACTCTCTGTCCATCCCACAAGAGCGGCAACTACAGGGCAGAAGGTGACATTTTCCAGAACTCTCCATCCCATAATGGCGACCCAGTGCCTGAGCTGGCACAGGTGGGACCCAGGGGGTTGCCAAGGCCCCATACCCTTCAACAGGGAGCCAGGAACCCTGCAGAATCACATGCACGCCCTTCAAAGGTTACATCACACCCCCCCGTAAAACCAACCCAGATCCAGGTGACCGAGTGATGCAGAAGGCTGAGGCATTAATGCATCCGGGAAGCCAAGCTTGAGGTGGGTCTCTGCTTGCACACACGCTTCACGATGGGAACGAGACACTTCGAAGGCATCCAGTAAGTAAAAACCAATTCCAGTAGTTAGGACAATGCATATCTACAGAACCATCTGTTGGGAGAAAAAAAAAGACCTGTCAGCTTGATACAAATCAGCCACTTATCCACCATGCGTGTGGAGCATGACGGATAGGATAATTATTCAGGATTATGGCATTTAAGGACATGTGGAGAACACATTCAGCATGCTGGATGATATGGAGGATGTCAGGGACAGTACTTTAAATATTATGTAGGCCAATTTATTGTACATTTCAGAAGTTCAGATGTTCACTGAAGTACAATTTATAAGATCCTCAGTCCATTTGCTCAGGTTGCTCTGATTATAAAGGAGAGAAAAAAATCCCTGAACAACGTTGCCCTCTAGTGGATCAGTGAGATATACACAGTGCGCGATGCTGCCCCAGCTTTCTGTCACAAGTGTTCAACCCTCCAGGGGAGAAGTTTGGGCGGGAAGAGGGAAGGTAGCTCAATCTACCACCATGTTTTCAATCATTAGTGCTAAAGACTTTTACTAACAAGGGTACACACAGCTCTTGCGAGAGCCCAAAGCATTTAATACATTAAAAGTAAAAATAATCCAAGTTTTCCCCTGGAGACCCCGTCATTGGCTCATACACACAGACATACAGTGAAGCCTGTGACAGGAGAGGGCTGAGATGATGAGGTTTTAGAGGAGTTTTAGAAGAACAGAAAAAAAAAATCCCTTTCATACAAAATGAACAAAAGGAAAACAACCTGAAATATGGGAGAGATTCTTTGTTGGCTAAAAGGCCGTTTCTTCTTCTTCAGTGATGGATCATAGGAATCTAACGATTACTAAACAGCAAGGGGGTGGAGGGGCTCTCTCCTTCAATGTAAATATCACAATCCTCCTTTTAATGGTCTAACGTACACGCGGTTGGTGTTCACTCCACCAACAGGAACAGCTACAAACCTTTCAGGACGCTCTCTCTGCATGTAATAATATGTAATCGCCATCGTGTATATTAGGGTGACCAGATAATCCATGTCAGGGAGGACACTTTGAGCTACTTCGGGTTTTACAAACTACTTCCAAATTAAAAGGCTCCTGTGCTCGGCTAAAGAGTTCAGCTCTTCTTGTGCTTTGACTGGTTTGTTTCCTTGACTGAAAGACTCATCCAGCTGTTTTACATTAGCATTAGTGACACATGCATGCTTATAGGAGACTGACCAATCAACACACAGCAAGAACTCGGTGCTCAAGTGAAATCCAAGTCCGTTTAATTGAAATGGTAATTTACAATTCCTGTCCTAGCTCAGAGTGTCCTCCCTGACATGGATTATCTGGTCACCCTAGTGTATATATAACTAATACATGTTTTAAACACATATGCCATATTTTGCAAAAAGAAAATAATAATATATTCAATAACCAACAGCTGCGCCGTAATAAGAAACGTTTGGCTGGTGGGGTTTTAATAAATTTAATATCCCGATAGCAGGACAATGGATTTCGAAACTCAAACACTGTCTGGCGCATGTCAAATACCAGCGGTGGAAATGGATATTGAACTGGGAATAGAAAGTAATATCAAGCAGAAGGAGCACGGCGTGGCCTCACCTGGCAGAAGGAGCACGATCAATTAGGAGGGAATTGTGGGTGAGCGATGATCCAGTTACCCCACATGCACCCATCAGCAAGGTGCGTCAGTCATACATGTACCTGTATGGTTCAGTATCTGCTCCATTCCATAAAGAGTTCGAGTTCAGCGATGGACGCGTGCAAAGCGGTAAGAAAAAGTTTATCTAGAAATGGACGTAAAAAAACTTTACATAATCTTCCTGAGATAAAAAGGCTTCACAATCTCCACTAACACGGTCAAGCAAACTTGTTTCGCGCCCCACACATACACGGGTCATTACAAAACTATTAACACAGGAGTCCTTATGCTAACAGAAATTGAATGCATAATAAATGGCATATGAAATATGTCCATGAGGATCACAACTGGCCTTATTGTAGAAGGTTCAATGCCCACACCCAGGGCTCCTGAAAGCTGACAGTGGGAGACTAACGTAAAACTCCGCGAAACGTCAGTCTTGTCTGCTACACGCGGCTGTCTAACCGCAATGTTTCTGCGGCCTCTCGCCCCCCAGGAGTCACTTAACAAAAACCAAGCTGGCAACAGGACGTCAAAGAACAGCTCAGCCTATTGTTTTTATGGCTGGTGAAACTTACCGAAGCGAGTGTGTGGTAAAATACCCGCTTCATTACCAGCGGCCATTATCGTCAAATGGTGCACATTTACTGCCTTGAAACATCCTCGGAGGGGAATTATCTAAATTAAACCATTGTGAGACATTTAGATCTGTTAAGCACGGGGCTGTGATTCAAACAAATCTTACACTGAGCTTTTAAATAATCTCTTTTCAGTGATGTATATTTTTAGGACTTTAGTTAAAAACATAGTTTACATCCGGCCAGTTATTTTCCATCCATTGTCACACAACGGTAAGCAAAGATGGGGGCACGGCGCTGCGTGACACGGAAGCAGGTACTGTAATCTTAATAAGGCGCTGCATACGATGTCTGTAATAAGGGCAGCGCTTCTCACTGTTCTGTTGAAAAATACTACCTATCGAGACGTGCTATCGAGCCTTTCTGCGCATGTGCAGTTCCACCGTTTTGGGATTAGGGTTAGGTTTTAGGGGTTAGGGTTAAGGTAAGGGTTTTAGGGGTTTAGAGTTAGGGTTAGGGCTATCTATTAGCACTACGGTAGCATTTTTCGACAGAACACTCACAAACACCAGGAGTGGAAGACTGAAGGCCACGGGAAGCCAAACGTGACCCTGTCACTGGAGGGGAGAAATGATCCCCGAAATGGGACAAGGAGCATCTCCGCCACGGCCGGACAGGTAACCGGAGGAGTGTGTTCAGGATATGCATCTCCAGACCGGTGTTCTGTCGATATATGCTGCCTTGTCGAAAAATGCTACTGTAGTGCTAATCGATAGCCCTAACCCTAACTCTTACCCTAACCCCCCCAAACCCCTGAAACCCTTACCTTAACCGTAACCCTAACCCCTAAAACCTAACCCCAATCTCAAGACGGTTGAACTGCACGTGCGCAGAAAGGCTCGATAGCACGTCTCGATAGGTAGTATTTTATGACAGAACACTGACGAGGAGCGGAGAAAACAAACATTCTTTGTTAAGCATTATCTAACAAAGCATAGAAACTTTATTTATGTTTCTACAGAATGATTTCATTACAACACAGTTCTCTTACAGGAACTTTTAAAACAAAAATTAGAATTTAACCAGGGAAAAATAAAACAAATACTGTACACAATAAATAAATGAACGAACTAATGCATTTTCTTACAAACTGAATGAAAAGCATGTAAAATCTATCAATCGATACAGGAAAAAAACGGTCAACATAAACATTGTTTCCTCATTTTCAAAACAGTGAGTAGACCTCTGTCGCCAGCAGAGGGCGCTGCTGCAAACTTGTCAAGTAGAAGTACGCAATCTTAAATATGCAAGGTGCAATACACACTGAAAATCATTCACTGAGCTGAAACCTTAAATGCACACAATCGTAAAGCAGTGTTAACGCTTGTGTCAAAGACAAGCCTGACCTTCCAAATCTTGGTCATATTTTCCAGCTTTTTGGAAAAGGAGCACAAAATACACAGCTAGTTGGCAGTTTGGAGATTGCATTTATTTTTGCCTTGACTGTAAAAGCTATATTCAGTACTGCGGCCATAAGACATTGCGTATGGGATAGTGTCACTCTGCAGTACGTGCACTGTTAGGGAGACTGCGGGAGAAGAACAACTGGCATGGATTTCTTTCTCTAGTTACCGCAGACTAAGGTCTTTCTTCTTAACAGGTATTACATTCATAATGTGCTGTGTAATGAAAATAGCAACAATTAGTGCCAAGCTCTGATCAGTGATTTCTCATCGCTGTATGCACAGGAGTCCTGTACATGTAAACAGCTACCAACCACACTTCAGAAAGCGGTGCCTAAGAATTGGAACAGAGGAGTCAGAATCCCGAGCTTGTTTTTCAGACGTCATATCCTAAGACTGGTCATGCCTCTGTCCTTAAGCGCGCACTGGGTTCTCGGTATAAAGGAGACGACGGCTGCTCAATTTTCCACCCGAAAGATGTGCATTAAAAAACTACATTTACTTTTGCAAGTAAAATATTTCACTAGAAAAATATTAACTGGCCTACTTCTTTAGTCAGAAAATAATGGATCGCCAAAGGCAGAAAAATGAATGCAGTGTGGAATGGACATATTTAAAATGGCCGGTAGTTGAATTCTAAAAACTTCTGTTTTCATGACCAGAATGAAGTAGCTATTAAAAGTCGTATGCTTTGCCTCTCAGACTGGCACACAGTGATCTGCGGCCTGGGTTGGGGTAGCCCTCATCTGTGCAAGACTCGCTAACTGGGAGCACAGCCCCTCTTTCTCTGACCTGCAGGAAGGCATAAGTGTGCAGAAAGTAAGACTGATATACAGGTGTGCTCTCCCTGGGAGAGGACCTCTACAGGCTCCCTTTCGGGTGACCAGAAGACAAAAATATATCTTGCTATTTCTAGGATCATGTGATGCTGGTGTGGGAAAGTCCCACTTAGTGGAAAGCTTTCCTATTTCCTTGTCTCCTAAATTCAAACAAAAGTTACTATCACATCCTGATTTTCAAAACCTAACATTTTACAAACAAAGGTTTGGTTCATTTTAAAACCGAAATACGTTACACCTTAAAGGGTCTTAAAGGTACGGTGTCCCCACCATTTGATGAGACTCCTCTGTCCGTTGATGGTCTTACCATTTAGGAGAACAAGACAACAACTCCCAGAATGCACCCACAAAAGAGTTGGTCTTTGGGTGGACTGTCTGCAGGAGGGGTCTTGGATGTCCTGTAGCTAAGAGTTTCACCAACTTTCCCATGAGCCCCTGTGTCCCCTTTCACTGCCTTGGTCTACCTCTCAGATCTGATCTTGTAGCGCAGGACAAAGTAGGCAAGGAGACGGAGCAGGACAAAGAAGATGCCCAGCACGATGAAGTCCAGGTACAGCTTGGCATTCTCTACATCAAGTTCCTTTAGGATGGCTGCTGACTTTTGAAAGTGACATGTGTCCTCGTCATCGCAATGGAGGTCTTCACGGTTCAGCCCATAGATGGACAGGATCACTCCTTCAAAACCATACCTGCAGATTATGATCGGAATCTCAGGGATACTTACAGAAACACTGCAAGACAATTTCATCAGTGACACAACTGGTAAAGAACAGCACAAAAAAGGAGCCTTTCTCGGGTCATAGATGGCATCCTCGTACTTCACCCCTCGCCATGTGAGAGTCGTTCACTTGCCTGACATAGGAAACGTAGGAAATCCACTGCAAGTACTTTGGTATGGTGTCAAAGCTGACAAAGAACCCAGAGAACAGCAGCACAGGGATGGCAGTCACTGGACCAACAAACGTAGCTACCTGAAAGGCAAAGGAGAGATGATTACAGAAGCAGATGCATCATGGCCGTACTAGACTGTCTCAGAGGGTGCAGCACTGAGTCAGAGAAACTAAGGCCAACACAGATATCTGAATGATTTCAATCAAGTACTCAACCAAGCAAAAGTCATAGACAACTACATAAATATTTGTAAACTTTTGCTTAATTGGTTGTCTTTTGTACTATTTTTGAAGTCAGGTTCCAGAAACGCTTTGGCTGGTTTTGGCTACAGACGGAGTATGGACTTGCCTGCAGGGAGGTAGAGGCTGCCCCTATTAGCAGCCCCAGAGACTGGGCCACCAGTGACGTCATGGTCCCCAGGGACAGGAAGAGTATGAAGCGGAGGGCGTCGCAGGGCTGTGATGTCATCCAGTAGACGATGGTGCAGTAGGCCACTGGGAACACCACCTGTGTAGCAGGACAATGCAATGACGTGCCCAGTAAATAACAGGCAGTCTGCATTTCATGAAGTCCAAATGTGATGCCTGAACCACCAGAGTGCCAAACCCGTGTTACCTGGAAGGGAACATCAGCCATGGTCTTGGCAAGATAGTAGGCCTTCAGGCTGTACCAGTAGTTCAGGTGCTCCCTTAGAAAAACCCCCATCTCGAGAGGAACTGAAGGTCAGGAGAGAGGACCACATTTCAGCACGATTCACCTCTCTGGAGGTTCAGGTCTCCAGATCTGTTACTAAACTCACATGTCAACACAGTGGGCATGAGCGCAGCGAACATGAGGAACAGCATGGAGAAGAAGAGGAAGCCGGAGTTGCTGAGAACTCTCTTGGCCTCATTGCCGATACCCAGGTAGAGAAGCCCGATCAGGATGCCGATTCCGATGTGAGAGGTGATCTGCAGGTGAGTCAGTACCTGGTTGACAAACAACAACATTAACTGAGCCTGCGCTTACAACTGCATACAAACACACATTTCAGGAAAACCGTTTTATTGCTGTTTGGCCGTAATGAGGATTTCAATAAACTGATGAGTTACGAAAAGTGGGTATGGAAAATAATTTTGCAGTGCTGTCTGTCCAGCTTTTGGAGTTGCTGTCTGTCCACTGAGGGGGGCTTTCTTACCGAATCTCTCATGATACTGAGAAATGTCCTCTTGAAAAGGATAGAGAACTGAGTCATGCAGCTGGCCGAGAAGCTGTGGCATCCCTCCGTGGAGGAAGAATCCTGCGGCATCAGGGTGTCAGAAGACCCATCAGCCAGCTTCTTCAAACATTTAGTGATAAAATCTACAGACATACGTGACTCACATGACCCTGCAGGCGGGCCCTGAATAAAGTTTCAATTTTGAATGCCATGTGCATTCTGGGAATTATATTGCCAGAGTGGTCAACCCTTACAGTATGTGGTGCAACATAAAATCCAGGTCATGTGGGCAACGGCAACATTCATGCAAACATGAAACCATATACAATAAAACATTATACAATACAATACAGGGTACTATACACAACAGTATATAACAGACCAAGGTGCAATAACCAATATTTAACCAATTATGTGTATGAATGTTTACCTCATCCATGGGTTTCTGCCACAGGTCGGGCTTGATGAGGTTGTCGTCCTGCTTCTCTATCCTGTAGTTCCTTTCACTCATCCGGTCCTGCACGGCCTTCACCAGTCTGGCCGTCTGATCCCCATATTCCACTGAGGCCACCTCCATCACTGTAAGTCAGCCAAAGCCCCTTACTAACACAGATGTACAGCTGATGCCCTGCTGATAAACCGTGCCTTCACATATGAAAACCATCTTACCAAAATCTGCAGGGTTATGATACGTAGGACAGTTGAGTCCCAGCTCCCTTAGGTATGGAACAAGGCTGGACACCTTTCCCTGATAGATGCACTGGCCTTGGCTCAGGACGTAGAGCTATGAACAGCCATGGATAAGCCGCAATTAGGCAATGTCCATCACAACCGGTAAGTCCAGGACAGCATGTCACCACGTTTACCTTGTCAAAGAGCTCAAAGAGCTTGGCACTGGGCTGGTGGATGGTACAGATGATTGTTCTCCCACCCTGGGACAGAGCCTTCAAGAGCGAGATCACTTGGAAGCAGGAGGAGCTGTCCAGGCCACTGCAGGGGACCACAACAAGGGAAAGTCTTCATCAAGGGTTCATACTCCCGACGGTGTTTCTGACCGGGACTCGTACTCCCGACCGCGTTTCTGACCGGGGCTCGTACTCCCGACCCCGTTTCTGACCGGGACTCGTACTCCCGACCCCGTTTCTGACCGGGACTCGTACTCCGGACCCCGTTTTTGACCGGGACTCGTACTCCCGACCGCGTTTCTGACCGGGACTCGTACTCCCGACCGTGTTTCTGACCGGGGCTCAGACTCCCGCCCGTGTTTCTGACCGGGGCTCAGACTACGGACCGCGTTTCTGACCGGGGCTCGTACTCCCGACCCCGTTTCTGACCGGGGCTCGTACTACCGACCGCGCTTCTGACCGGGGCTCGTACTACCGACCGCGCTTCTGACCGGGACTCGTACTCCCGACCGCGTTTCTGACCGGGGCTCGTACTCCCGACCCCGTTTCTGACCGGGGCTCGTACTCCCGACCCCGTTTCTGACCGGGGCTCGTACTACCGACCGCGTTTCTGACCGGGGCTCGTACTACCGACCGCGTTTCTGACCGGGGCTCGTACTACCGACCGCGTTTCTGACCGGGGCTCGTACTCCCGACCGCGTTTCTGACCGGGGCTCAGACTCCCGACCGTGTTTATCTTCATCAGCCAATGCCCTGCTGAAGCTTGTCTCAAACACTGCTTTGCCTTCAGGTTGGCCAGCTTCCCTGTCTGCAAACCAATCATGCAGTGTACTTGTTGACCCAAGGAATTACTTCATATTATAATCTTATGATAACTCAGAGGATGCCCTGAAGCACAGACTGAGCTGTTAAAGCTTGTTTCCTGCCAGGGTGAGATTAGACCTCTCATTACAGGTGGGAAATGAGGCTACAGAACAAAGAACTAGAAATACAACATTAAAACATGAATACAAAGGAATACAGAGGAGGAGGGAGGTACTGTTCAAAATTCCTGGAAGATTTAACTCTAGTTAAAGAGAAAGAACTGGAGATAAGAAAACACTATCGTTTCAAACGAGTACTAAACAATACTCACTAGCACTTTACTTGAGGCGGCACAAATAATGTAGTCGTACACTCTTAATATATTAATTAACTAGAAACTGTTAGTTACGTACTGATCCAATGTTTGTTCATCATTAATCTGCCCAAATGGTTCGTTTCATACAGTAAATATATTTGTTCATGATTTGTACTTGAGTAGTAACTGAGTTACTAAGCTACTTGTGCCCTGTCAAGTAAAGTGTTACCCAATACATTTAATTACCAATGAAAAACTACACTTTTGAAATACAAGGATTTTTAGTTACAGGATCCTATTCTTCATAATAATCACACATTTTAATCCTTATATAATTAGTAGACAGTGGTCACCAGTCCAAATGAGTTCACAATTGGAATATCCTGCTTTAGGGTAACAATGTTAACCACAGGGCCTAATGATGCTGCACCAGGTCATCCTGATTAATTAGTCTATAGCTGCTCGTACTGAGAATGGGGCCTTTAAACTCGCTCAGTTCAGACTCTCTCTGATGCCCAAAGTCGAAGGCTGTGCCACCTCCCACCATGCACCCGTGCTTGCTGACCTGGTGGGCTCGTCGAAGAACATGACGGGTGGGTTGTTGACCAGCTCCAGCGCGATGGCGAGCCGCTTCCTCTGCCCCCCTGACAGGTTTGCTGTGCGCGTCTTGGCGCACTGCAGCAAGCCGAGAGCAGTCAGGATCTCTTTGACCTGGAGAGCACTGACATCTCAGAGCGCCGCCTGCCGAAGCTAACACCACGCTAACGCTAAACCTGGTCTGTTCCTCTTACCATTTCCCGTCTCCCTTCATCCTTCCTCTGAAGTTTGAGATTCGCAGACACCTAGAAACGTTACAGGAAAGTGGGTGAATTTTCACACGTTGAATGTTTATTCAATGAACACTAGGCAGGCAAAAGAGCATGATGAGTGAGACTGTCACATGGCTCACTCAGCATCATGACCCTCCACCTAACCCTTACCATCATGGCCTCCTCAACTGTCAGATGTGGGAGGAGCATGTCATCCTGCATGATGTAACAGGACACCTTCCGGAAGGAGCGCAGGTCACGTGGCTGCCCATTGATCAAGATCTCCCCCTTCATCCCCGTCTCTCTGAATATGCAAAGAAACAGGCGTTAAACCGTTTTTCACATCACCAAGATTTAGTGGTGATATGTCTTTATCTGATAGCAGTGCCGGCCATACTTAATCATTTTAATTACAGACATTAGTGGAAATGTACTTCATATTACACCCTCTGGTGGCTGCATGGTGAAACTGCAGTTTGCAAACACCAGCTCTCCTTTGCACCGAGATTGACAAAGATACCTTCTGTCACACAGCGAATTGTCACTTGACGTTATTCCTAAGTGAAGGTCATTTTCTGGTTCCTGTCAGTCACGCCCCCCCCCTTCCCCCCGCCAAAGCAAAGTATAATAAAGGATGGATGTGGACTGAGGACAATAAATACCCAAACTAAGCATGATCAAACGGCTGCAGGATTGTTCTGTGACTGTTCTCTGGTTTCTAATCTGTCTGTGTTGACTCTGTATGCCCTGGGGGGAGGGGAAGGGGGAAGCATGTCAGCTTGAGGGACATGCCTGGGTCCCCCATTTCATAATGAACCAGGCTGCAGAGTAGCCAGGAAGTGACAAGGAACTGGGATGGTGCCAAGGGGGTCACAGAGCAGAATTTGGACATTTCCAGAGCAGTCCAAAGAACAGCCTGCTTAAAAAAAGCCTTTCGTGTGGAAAAGGAGTGTGATGCAGTGTAAGTGGATGTAAGGCGGCTTCCCTGCCCTGTTTTAGACTGCGAGGTCTCGAGGCTTTAGGGGCTCGACCAAGTTTTTACCGGCTCACTGGCTTTGCCCTGCAGCTGGGCTCACGACTGGCTGCTGATGGTGCCTCACCTGTAGCCGGCCAAGATGTTCATGAGCGTAGACTTCCCAGCCCCAGAGGGACCCATGATGGCCACCAGTCCACCACTGGTGAAATTCCCAGAGATGCCTTTCAGCAGGGTCTTGTAACCTGAAACGCAGGACAGATGCAGACTGAGCGTTGAGGCTCTCTGATGGGAAGGCAGGCCGGCATGCAGCTGTACCTGCCTGCCCCCGGTGCTCAGAAAGGAACAGGAGCGTGCGTTTGCTCAGGCAGTGGGTCTGACTGCGGATCTCTGTCCTGTGTGCTTATATATGCCGCGTAAGGCACAAAGGTGTATTAAGGTGTATAAAGATCAACAGCCGCATGGAAGTCACCACCGTCAAGTTCAGACTGATCAGATTTCCCCAGCATCTCCACCCTGACTTTTGAGCCTGCTTTTCGTAACTGTATGTTGCTCTGTATAAAAACCGGGAAAATACATTTAAAAATAAATATTTAAAATGTGTGTATTTTTTTTGACATTTGGTGTCCTTTTTTAGATCACGTGGAGGAACCAGACAGTACATCAGACGTGCCATTTAACATCAAAGAGCGTTTCGCTGTAAACCAGCCTATATGAAAGCTGAAAACTAAAACGCAAACAAATTACGGCTCAAAAGAGGAAATCAGTGGCTGAGAATGCCTCCTGGGGACCTCTTATTTACCTAATGGATGTGTTTCAACACTAATCCTGTTCATTCTAGTGGTTTCTGGACCAACTGGATTTTCCATTATAGTCTGTTATATTTACAGATTGGCCTTCGTCACCCCCCCCCCCCCCCCCCTTCCCAGGAAGGACAATGAGCTGCTGAAGGCAGGCTTTCACAGAGGGGGGCACGTCTGCCATTGAGTGACTTTCCCTGAAGCATTCTGGGAAACGTGGGGAGACACTTCACTGTTTGCAGTGGGCCTGGAAAAGTCAAAGACAGCCTAAATAACCGAACAGCCAATTGAGACAGTTCTAGACCCCTTAAAAACCAAAATGGCCTGACCCAAATAAACAAAATGAAAGTTTAGAAGAGAAGATCAGATTTATCATTTGTTAAAGATAAGACTAATATTATTACAGAACTCCCTGTGACCCTAACCAGGATAAGTGATCAGAAGATGGATGCATGGATAGTTATTAACTGTAAATACTTATTACTAAGCGAGATGCTGCATAATGCACCATGTGACCATGTGACCATGCACTCTCTTCCACACTGATTGTTGATTTGCAGAGGCACCTTCATCTTCTCTTCAGTTAGATTCTGGGAAACTAACAATGAGTCAGTGTCTACATGGGGGCTCCGTCGTGCCAGCGTGAGCCAGTGATTCGTCAAAGCTCCAGCCATCCAGAAAAGTGCCAGAAGATGCCGTCCAATCACAATCTGTTGCCAGGTAACACCTGCCCTTAATCATTTGGGGTTCTCACTAAATGATGCAATTTTCCATTCTCCATCTGCCGTGCATGGATGTAATGTTTACTCCAGAAGGGAGAGGCAACGTCAATGCTGCCCATACTACCTAGATCATATACTATCAGACTTATTCGATCATTTCTTGTATTAGTCTTTAATGTTGCTGTTCTTAATTACTTCCCATTCCTTTAAGATATCTGAACACACTGTCACATTCCTATTAATATGACAGAGGGTTTCTGCCCCATGACCTCACACCCCGAACAGATGGCGAACGATGGCCGTGTAATGTGGCATCTCATATCTGTCGGACTGAGCTTCACAAACCTCGACCAGCAGCAGCACACTACTGCCGCGGCTCCCATCACTGACTCATTCCTTCCTACCAGCTCAGGGTCAGGGTATAACCCTATTACCAGGTAATCTCCTCGTCTCATCCCTCTCTCCACACAGCGGGAGACACAATGCCGTCGATGAATGGCAACTCAGGTAAGTGCTTTTACTGACTTTTGGGTCCAAGTGAGCTACCTTGTGTCATAAACTCCAGCAAATCCCATTTGATTAGACTCCCTTTAAAGCTTCTTGTGCATAACAGCGTCTTATGTAAGCCATGGTAGAAGAGCAGCGAAGCAGGCAGTGTCCTTTGTGTTACAATCCTCAGCTGAAGCAACTCCCACACATGGCCTCCCTGAATTCACCAGAAGGCTTCATGGCCAGTGCAAAGTATGATATTACAGACTGCGAGGTCACTATATAAAGGAATTTACTACCCCCAAAATACACAAGTCTATCTATCACCCTCCATGGCTGCGGTACCCTTGACAATGACAGTTGACCAAGATCCTGCCGCTGAAACGTCCCACATGTAAGCATGAGTTGCTGTGGCTGGTAAGTGTGGGATGATGAGATTATCCTGGCCAGCGATGCTGGAGGAACCCAAACACAGTCTGACGAGATGAGATGGGAGCGGCGCTCTGGTTATATGCTTCTGAAATCAGCATAAGCGCAGACAGTTTTACATTGTGATTCATCTAAATATGGGACTTTAGAACTGATTGTTCCACATGAACTGCAGGAAGTAAAACACAAGAGCTTGTTCCAAAGACCTCTGAGAAGCATGCCAGGTAGAGAGAGAACTTGACCTAGATCACCTCAGAAGAGACTCTATTCAGGTATATAACAGGGGACAAAAGAGCCCGCAAACAAACGCAGGAGTATAAATGAGGTAACTGTACTTAAACGGGTACGTCACGCTAGCTGGCTGGATGGCCTCCATTCGGGTCAAGGTGGCCCGCTGACCCTTCAGTTTACTGTATCCAGCTGGGTGCGCAAACACATCTCATGGCTGTGAGCCACAGTGACACACTGCCATTCTGGCAGCTGCTGGCCCTATAAGCAATGGCAAACCCCCCCCCCCCCCGCCCCCCCCCGCCCCGTGCGTTTGCACCTCGAGTGCTTAAGTTATCCTTTCCATCCCACCATTTCGATACCAAGAACTGTGCCTCATGAGCAAGGCCTACCTCATCCACCCGCCCCTGTGCCCGTTTTCATATGATTTATCCAACTGAGAATCAGGATGGCAACAATACAGTAAAAACCAAGGACGAATGTTCCTGTTGCCAGAAATGGTGTATTTTTAAACAGCTGTATACTGCTATATTGATTTTTTTTTTTTAAATACGCTGTGTTAACATATTTAACTTTTTTTTGCTTTGACAAAAAAAATTAACTTAAATCAACAATTAAGGACTCTGTGTAGGCTGATGTAATGGTCCATCACCGTAGCAACAGCACAGCCAATCACATCATGCAGCTCAGAAAGATCCTCTCCACATCCGGCCTGATGGGGTTACTGTAGTTTACTGACCGAGAGTACCCGGCCGGGACCAGATAGTGTGTGGCTTTTCTGTTACAGGGAGGAACTTTCAATTTTTTTTTCTCTCCTAATTAACCACTAACAAAACCTGTATTTCTATAGCGTCAGAGACGAAGGTGGATGATAAAATAAAGTACACAAAGTCCCTTTGGCGTACCCGGCCTGTGATTATACCTACAAATAGCAGCAACAACAGAACTCTAAACGAGGGGAAAGCAATATGCCAAATACAGAGAACTACACTGTGCTGTTATTTGGGGATTCGTTAAGATTCCTGTTCCTGTTCCTGTTCCTGTCCAGGTTCAGACCTTGGTTTCCTATAACTGTACCAGAGAAAGGAAAACGTCTCCTGTCTCCATTATTTAGCATCCACACCTGCATCACTGCTCTTCAATCTTTAATGGAGATGGAGTCCGACAATCATTAACTGCAAACTGGCCACACATCCTGTGCATGTGCCTTTGTGTAGGTGTGTGTCAGGAAAGAGCACAGTTAAATCACATCACGTGACACAGTGATGGGCTCTTCTGCAATAGCCAGCACTGACCCGCTAATCCACTCTTTCCCAACCTGGTCCTTGGGGACCAAGAGTCGGTCCATGTTTTTGCTACCTTCCAGCTCCCTGCCAGACAGTCAACATTTCTGCTCCCTCCAAGCTCGTAGGGAGCAAAAACATGGACTGTCTGTGGGTCCCGAAGAAGGCCCACACTGGCGGACATTAGAGCCGGCCCAATTTTCCCCCCATCTTGTGTTAGGACCCCATATGCCACTGGTGCTGGATGCCTTGGGCAGAAGAAATGCTGGGACCAGTCAAATCCCTGAAACCAGGAATGCTGTCTTTCCATGTGAGAATAATCACCTCTTTTGTGTCCCCTCAATGGACCCCACTGAACAAAATGAACACCTGTTATGTCAAAAGAATGAATGATTAAATAACCTACTAAAGTTATTTAAGGTCACTTCCGTGCCTTAAGCTTGTTTCTGAGTGATTTCTGCTGTTTGAAAATATGCAAGACAGTAGAACTTCCATCCATCCATCTTCTCTACGGTTTGCAATCAGCATAAAAACCAAATCACAGCATATGCATGCTTTACATCCATCGATATAAATACTTTAAAAATACATTATGTAAATTCCATTAACCCTCTGATTGCATGCATGTGTAAATAATGCCAGAGCGGAAAATACGGGTACCTTTCCTCCTCCACCACGGTCCTTCGGGGACTGAGTACGACACATCTTTGAATTCGATATTGACTGCCGGACGTCGCGGCAGGTAAGAAAAGCGCTGGGATTCAGCCAGGCCATTTTCATGCATCAGCGGGGTCTTCTGAGCGCCCCCATTCGACACAACCTCGTCAATGGACACACACACATTCCTGGGCTCCACCATCAGATCTGGCGGCCCATTTGCATTCTAAGGAAAAAAATAAAACACAAGAAAAAACGCATTTGATGACTGAGTGTCCTACGCCTATACGTGTCCTATAGCTCGGAGATAATTGGTAAAATTTACCAAACTGAATGTGCACTGAAAACTTACTCGGATTAACCGGTACTCTCATTTCACATGTATATAAAAACAATTAACTGTTCAGTTTTGTATTTCTGGTGCAGCATGCTCAGGGGGACCCGCAGGTACACGGGGGTTACTATCGGTCAAAACTGTTGTTCAGCGCGGTTACTTTATTTTAACTTGATATTATCATATTATTACAGCGCAAGAGTTAACTACAAAAAGAAACACTTTTGAAAAAAAAATGACTGCGGCTTGCGAGTGGAAAGGAAAACAGAACTCACCATCTCACCTGCGCACTTTTCGCTTACACCTTATACTATTCGTATTTAATACATAACAGTAAGTTTAATGATACTCTACGGATCAAGAATGGCTGTCGCATATAGCTTCACAACTAATTAAAAGCGACCTAGAGATCTTATTTCCAGCTGGCGTCACGGTACCTGTGCACTATTATAAATAGATCAGAAAACTATTCTTTTGTCATCCCGGCAGTTGTAAAAGCACTAGGACTTGTATCAAACTAATATAAATAATTAAAAACAAAAACAGAATAAAAGGCATATGTGCTTAAGAGGGAAAAGGTTACTGCAGTTCATCCCTTCCGAGTCCGATAACCGATACAGGTGGCGGTTATTTAAAGCCTACTGCAGACTCAGCGGAGTATTCAGCTCGAACCTGTTTCAATAAATCTATTAGGAATAAATGCACGTAAGCATGAGATGTACTTTAAGAAGGCGGACCGCACCATGCATTTCATTTAGCAGCGCGTTTTCCACTTAGGACAGGCTGGCAATGCGTAAATTAAACTGTACAATAAAGAGAAAAATCACATCCACACTTACCATAATTATTGAATTTGTGACCAATGTGTTGTTCACAGAAAACGCAGCCATTAGACAAGCCATTCCTCAGTACCTGTCCTAGCTGAGTAATCCGGCGGTTTACGATCGGAACAGTCCTCCAGGGACTGGTTTTGTGTGCGCTCCCCACTCAGGCTCCAGAATCTGCTGTAGCCGCTATGAAATCATTGTGTTTTTGTTTACAGGCCGACCGGCTGCTCTAGGTGCGTTCAGCGTGACGTCGCCACTCCGCCGCCGCCGCCGCCCCCTGCACTGGCGCCCGGGGACTTCATAGCTGCGCACCTACCTGCGAGCACACCCGCGGCACCGCCCATGGAATAATTATTTCCATTCACATTTTGAAAAATGTCCGAAAAAACTGGATAGGAGTTTTTGTGAAATACACAATGTGTTTTGATGCCTGAATAGATAATGAGCCGTAATAAACTCACCGTTTTAATGCCAGGTGTAATTTATGTTAAAGTATCTAAAGGGGCGTTACTATCACTAATCCAGTTCTGTACCTCATTCTGCATCCAGCTACCTGGATTCAGGGAAAACTCCTTGAGAAATATTTGTAACACGCATCTCAAGCATGATATTTTTGGTTTGTGTTATCATTTTTCATGAGAATACCTGAGTGGTGAAAAACTCAAAATGTATGTCCATGCATCCATGACCCACAATTAATCACATCCACTTGGGACATTTAGATTGTTCAGCAGGATGAGACCCCCCCCCCACACACACACACACAAGCTGGCTCAAAGAGCTTACAAGTACAACATGTGTGCAAAGTCCATGGAGTAGGACAGAATCAGATGCAAATCACATCCTTCAAAGGAGCTGTGTTGAATGTGCATGTGTGGAGGGGGGGGTCCTAGGCTGACATGGATAGGGGGCTCCCTAAAAGGTGGCCATTTGAGAGCGGGGGGCCAGGGGTAGAATTTACCAATCAGGGTTGGAGTGGGAGTGCTGCTGGTAAGATTTGCAGAATGGGGAGAGGGAGGTATCATGCCTGTGGATCGATGGACCAGATTTTAGTAGTTTAACCGTCCCCTTTTGCTGTGACCCTAGGCTATAGTGTAGGATAGCCTATGCCTTATTCTGACACTGAGGCTCTTTCCACGTGTTTACAATATGTCTACCATTTTAGCAGGACAGTATCTAAGACACTGGAGGTTTAATGTTAGTCTTGTATCTTTGCGCCATTTTCTTCTTCTTTAAGGCTACTTTGGCCGGTTTGCTTGGCATGGATTTGGTACCAGTAGACTCCAGTACAGATGCTCCTCTACTTACGAACTTTCAACTTACGAACTTTCAGACATATGAAAGAGGAAGACTGTAAATCCAAATTATGTTAATTGCTCCCGTTTCCTGTCCACAACATCAATTTTCTTTTCTGCGCGCCAATTCCGCCTAGTATGACTTCTGGCTGCTACTCCCGCCACACAGCAGCGTAGCGTGCGTACTCCCAGCATCCTACTTCTTTGTACTTGCGTATACCCTTAAAATGATATTGAATAATGACTTACAAACATTTCAAATTACAATTGGCCGTTCGGAACGTATCTCATTCATAAGTAGAGGAGGGTCTGTATAGAAAAAAAAAAGCTAACTAGCATGAAGTCTCAAAGGGGGGGATTTTGTCCATCCTGAAATCTTTTGCTAAAAATGCAAATAACAGACATGTTGCTATAATTGGAATGATCATATATTATGTATTCTTATACTAAGATTCTGGAATTTCTGGAAAATCTGTCATCTTGGGCTTTGTGGCTAGTTGTGTGTGTGTTCACAACACAGAAAAACGGAAAATCAGGGATTTGTTCAAATGGACTTCAAAGCAGCCAAATGCTCAGGTTGCTCCCGGTCTTGGTAAGTTCTGGAAGCCCAAAACAAAACTCCAGGTCTGGGGCATCTGCAGTACCAGTGGGTCCAATTTCAGATTTAACCAAAAGCCAGATGAAGTATGACTGCTGTTTAGCCCTGGTCCATGACTTGTGATAGAAATGCATCATACCTTCAACGAAAGCAAACATCATTCTTTTAAGAAATATCAAAATATTTCTTCTTTTATTTAGACTTCTTTGTGCCTTGAGTATAAAAATGAAAGTCCAAATAAATCAACAAGTAAGACTAACTGCTTCAGTAGGCCAAGGCCCTCAGGACTAAAAGCACATTATACTGTCTGAAATGTACAAATTCCATGACAATAATTGAGTTCCTTTCAACAGCTATAAATGAAACTAAATACACACTATCCAACATGCAAGCATCTACACAATTTGTAACACGCCTGCATATGAAACCTTGGAGGGCATTAATACTAACATGTTAATCCCTTCCTAGTGGCACAGCAGACTTAACAAAATAGCAAAAGCTTTACATTCTACATGCTTTTAGTCGCTTCTGATCCGACCGAGAAAAAAAATACAAATGCACTGGTGTCTGCAGCACAGTGAGAGATTTACTTAAAGAACAGACCAGAGATGCATGTAGCAAATGCCACATGACACAACAGTGCCCTCCAACAGCGGTGGAGCCACACCGGCACGTTTTGCTTCTCAGATTCTTTACTTGGTTTTTTTCTCCACTCCTAAGGTGTCATGGAGCTTGGAGACATTTTTTTCAAACTGGTCCATGACCAGCGTTCCGTTTTCGTCAAAGAAGCGGCTCACAGACTCTGTGAACTCCATTTCACGATTCCGTTTGGACTTCCCATTGATGAAGGTGACTCTCAGGGTGTACTTGTCATCAAACCTGCAGAGGGCGATGTGTGGAAAATTGGCACCAATTGACATTGATCATAAGCAAGCCTACGTGAATGTGCAAACTACAGGAATGGGTATTAATTTCAACTAAATAGACAATATGACCTTTTCAGGCTTGATGTCAGCTGCCACACATTGTCAGGATCCATGCCAGTAGGGTCTTTCTGCACAGCCATGAGGAAGATGCTTTTTTCTTTATAAGAGGTATACAAGGTAAGGATCCCCATCATAATGAAGTAAGTAAATATGCAGAATTAAGGAGAAAACCATGAAGACAATGAGTATGAGAACAAACAATTTAAATATCCAAATGAGGGCCTATTCATTAGGCATATTAAACAGTTGTCTTTCAAAAAGTGACAATGGGAAGCCCCCCCCCCCCCCGTGACACAAACAAATAATCCAACAGAACAGGAACCAAGATCGTTGACATTTCATATGACCAAGAACTGGCTTTTAACTGGTAAGGATATGAGATTACACAGCATGCCAGAACCGGTTTGGATTCAGGGAAGGGGTGAAGGTAATCCCACACCAATGCTACGATAGCAAAGAGGCAAGAAACCGTGCAGATAAAGAGGCGTCCATCTACGAGGCTGAAGTTCTCCACATAGCCATACTTTTCCAGGAGAACCTGTGGGGAAGATTTCTGAAAATAAATGGCAACGCCTTAGAAAACCTCTGACGGCAAAGCATGAAGACATACTACTGCACCTTCTTGGCAGCATCGTCGAGTGAATTCTTCACAGCGGCTCCATCCCATTTGTCGATCTTGATCGGCTTCTCGTCGATCCTCCACTACAGCAAGATTGGTGATAGATCATTTAACACATTGAGTGAGAAAAGGTTTAATACATTTAGGAAATGAAGCTTCCTATGATTTTGACCACTTTATGCACGGTACACTACACAGTGACATCTAGTGGCATATGAGCACTGCATACATTGAGGCACATTTACTGTACTTGCATATATGTATAAACATACATAAACACACACACACACAAACGCACTCACTTCACCTTTTATCTGTATACATGCACAAGTTCACAAAAGCGATAATTAAAAGATGGTTATGTTGTGCTAGTTACGACCTAAACACTAACCGATCGTGATGTACTTGTGATCAGATGAAATGCTGGTAACCAGTGAAACAGGGTTAAGTAGGGAAGGACATTAAATCTTACTGCCATATGTTACGTGGTTGTCGGTAGAGATCTACTCACATTCTGAAAACTACAACCAAGTTACCAAGCTAGTAAGAGCTACGAGCACTTAGCCAGTTACCCATATTTAAGAAGGGGACGTATCAAAGCATGTTTTTATTTTCTGCAGGATGAAGGAGCGGATATTTACGCTGAGCCAACTGACATCCGTCTCATTTAAGACCCGCCAAATATACATGAATATTTGGAAAACGGAACGGAAACACCAAACAGCATCCAACTTAAACTACTCGGCATGAGACAAGGCAAAGTGAAATATATAATACCGCTAGTTTATAATAACGCTATAACATCTTTCAAATGACTTACTTTTTCGAGTATACCATTCTTGCCGTTTTTCGCCGCCATCTTTTCCGTCCGTGACTTCGGTGTGACTTGGGCTACTCTGATTGGACGCTATCGCATCCTTCGCTGACCAATAGCATTCAAGAGGAAACTCATAATTGTTACCTCATCATATTGCGTCTCGGCGCATAGAGTTTGTGCAATAACTCGATGGTAGCGGACGACGATTAAAAATTATTTAAGACATACCATCTAGGAAGACGTTTTAGAAAGAGTTGTAACAGTTAAATATCTTGAGTTTGACCTCCGAGTACTCAGTAATATGTTATACTGCCATAGTCACTTAAATCACCAAACATACTATAAATAACTTCATACATATTTTATTTATGGACATTTCTTCAAAGCAGGTCCACAGTCCACAAAGATTTAATATTTAATGCCAACTTGAATGACTGCCAGTTAGGCTGGAAGGAGAATAAATTCTATAGATGCTTCAATTGGAAAGAGCAATGCAGAACAAATAATAAAATAATAATAATGACATCATCACCAGCTGTTCACAAATTCCCAAGATCATAGGGAGATTTATAGTGTTTCAGCAAAATTACGGGTCCAAATTCCTTGTTTTACAACCTTAAAAAGTGATATGCAACGAACCAATGCCATGAAATAATATTAGCAGGACCATTAGACAAGAAAAAAGAATGAGAATCTGTGAAAGTGCTTCTGGTGATAAATACCCATTTTAAAATCATTTGACCTTTAATTTACTCAGACTTCAAGCTACAAATTGGAGAAAGTCATCCATATATTCACAAATTCATCAATTACAGAGCTACATTAACGAGGTAAAAGTACATCAATATGATGATATACTGTATATCTGAAAAACTAATAGGAAGACCAATTTAAAAAAAACAAAAAACATTGTATGTAGCTGAGAGAAAAATAAGAATACTACTGAACAGCAAAATGTTATGTAGGCAAGGTCAGAAATAAAAGTGACAGGCTGGTCTCCTAATACTGTAGAACCAAAACAGTGGAAGGACTGAAAGAAGTCTGAAAATCATACCCCCCTTGAATTAACAGGACTAGAATAAGATCTCTTGACAGAATGAGAAAATGCAGGCTCAGTTCCCAAATACACAGGCTATATTTCCTGGAATGTTGTTGAAATTAAACTCATTATAGATCAACAAGCATTATACATTAACGGCTCATTGATGAACCACGCTCAGCACCAAGTCACTACCAGTGTGGCCTGCCTGAACACACAATCTCGCTTTCAAAAACCTTCAAAACATTTGAGCAGCATATAAATCATCCATCCATGCATCTTCTGACCACTTATCCTTGTCAGGATCGGGGGGGGGTGGTCTTCGGCTGGGAGCACAGGACAGGGTACACCCTCAACGAGATGTCAGCCCATCGCAGGGTCAGTATAACTAGTTTTAAGATAAATTCTATATGCCACTTGCAAGATACGGTGGAATCAAGGCTAAGACTGTTGCCCCCTAGATTAAGGGAAAAATCTGTCTTGTTAAAAGAAAATTAATTTGTAAAACATCTGAAAATTCCCAATTCAGCTTAACGGGACCATGAGCTCAAAAATAATTATTTAAAACTAGACATACTACACTGAAATTAAAATAAAGATTTTGGCACTAAAAGTACTCCCTAAATGAGAAGTACCACTACAGAGGCGTGTGTCTGTATATGCAGTGTACGGTGTATGTTCGTCTACAATCACTTAACAAGAGTTCTTTAAATAAACATGATTAAAGCTCTTATTTTGGTAGACCCAATAAGCAAAATAATAAAACTGTCTTTGAGAAGAAAAAATGCCTCTCAAATCTATTATATAGCCCTTTGAAAAAAATTATTTTCTGCATACAATGCTTACACAGACATTCATCTGTTATGACATGTAAAAAGGAAACAAAAAAGCATTTTCCCAGTTTACATAAGAGTTGGGCAGCGATCTTCGAACCGATGTTCCGAAATACAAATTTTCTGGGAAAAGCAGGACATTAAAGAATTGTTAAAATCACCACTTGCTGTAAGAAAAACCAAATGCTGGTGAACAAAAAACTCTGAAAGGAAAGACGATCCAAAAACTTGGAACTCAGAGGTAGAGACGACAGTTAATATGTGAGTACGGTAATCGTTCCCATTTCCCAGACTGAATGAATCCAACAGAACCGCCATTTCAGTAAAGCAGTCACTACATTAAGAGGTAAGCCGCTGTTCCACTGGTCAATGGCTTCCTAAAGACTTATGTTATTTTATTAGTTTGAAAATACATAACACCTGCTTTCCAATTATTGATCAAACCAGTAGTGTACTTTTCTATATTAATAATACTACTAATATTTGGTCTAAGCATTCTTTTTCACTAGATGGATATACAGAGTATGTACAGGTCTACCTACCGAAGGTAACTGTGATGTATACAGGACCTCTTCCAGTCAGGTAAAGACATGATGAACATATAGAACTTTGTGCAAATAACCAGACTGGACTCACCTTGGACATTCACTTTAAAATCAGGCCACTGGCCGCAAAAATGACACTGATCATCAGCTTTACTGCAACTTCCTAATCTGTCTTTTTTATGATTATCTGGGATTTGACAGCAGCCAGCATGACAGGGATTCATGGATTTCCAACAGTAAATACTGCATGGACATAATAAGGTGAGCCATAAGCATGTAGAGCATCCTTCAGTGAATGCTGACTTTAGATCCAACTGAGCTCCTTAATTAATTAGGCCTAATTGAAATTCAGTCTCAATTCAGATGAGGTGGTAGAATTAGTTCCATGTGAACTTGATAAAACTATTACTTTATTGTGCTTTATTGTGAGACTATAAAAAAACACAATGTATTTCATATGCATTCACCAACCCGTTAGATAAAATTCATAGGGTAGATAGGTAATTGCACTGTTCATAAAAGAGAACAATATTTAGAACACCTAGTACTTTTTGGTTATGTCAATTTTTTAAGTTTTCAGCTAACTTTGGGCTTTGATTTTAGTTACAATGCTTTAAATCCTAGCTTTCCATTAAATCAACACAGTTGGGTCTAACAAAGCTCAGCTGGACCTGATAGTTACATACAGAGCAGGTCAGAACTGTGACTGGAAAATGCTAATGAGTAACAGTTAACAAAATGGTAGTATCCTACAAACCATTCAGAATCAATATACTATACAATATATTTTCTTTCTCATACATTATAAAGGGATTTAAAAATTTCCACTGACTCGGGCATTAAGAGGGGAGTTAATGTTGAAGAAATCCAGGTGTCTAAGAAAACCGCAAATCCAACCCTTCAAAGATTTACCAGCTGTAGTTAAAGTGCTTGTTCCGCTCGGAAATCCTCCGTGACCTTCGTGTGCTGTCCACAGAAGCCCAGGAGCGGAGAAGGTACCTCTCATGGCTTGTCTTTTGCCGGTCCACTTTTTCAAACTCCCTGTTGAACTGTCTCTGCAGCTTCAGAGCCAGCTCAAGGTCCTCCTTTTCCTGCTGCAGCCGGTGGCTCAGCCAGCAGCCTCCGTCAAACTCAGGGGCGGAGTGGCCATTGTCGCCATGCATCTTGGGATTTTTAGCTACTCCGGCGTCTTCCAGGTGCTTGGTCTTTTGGCTCCGCTTTCTGCCCCTCCAGGAGGTAGGTCGGCTCTTCACGTCATTTCTGGCATGTGACACTCTGCTCAGGTCCTGGGTGTCAGGTGCCCTTCGATTGCACACTGCCGGTTTGGAGTCCCCGTCAATGAGAAGGCTTGAGGTCGGTCCATCGCATCTAACAGGTTCTGACACTTTACCCTGAGCTGTATCACAGGTCCCACGTACGGAGTTGGCCACCCTAGGTGTGTATACCTTGTCTCGTTGTGTGAGGGAAAGACCTGGCTCCCCAGGGGACTGATCAAATATCAATCGACGTCTGTTGTACGACTCTCTCTCGCCTTTGCGCCCAGAGGTATCGCTTTTTGATGTGGGAAGAGTACGGCACTCTTTCAGCGTACTCTTCTCCAGCGAAGTCCTATGGATTTTTCTCTTCTTCTCTGCGGGACTTTCCTGAAGGTTAAAATCCTCTGCAAGAGGACTTGTGATGGTCCCCTTCGAGGTTAGCTTGGAGCCCCGCCGGTCCTTCTCGATCTGCTTCCATTTCTGGAGAATGGTGGGGCTGGCCTCGTAGCTGGTGTGCTTCTGCAGACTCCGGGTTAGGTTTCTTGGGGTGGATTTCACTATGGTGGGCTCGACCACTTGCCCATTGGGCAGCCTTTTTGGTGGAGTGCAGGGTGAACAGACAATGGGTTTGAAGTGGTTCAGCTCCTCGGAGATGCTGTCGTTGCTCTCTGGGCTGATAGACCTCTCGACTTTGGTTGGTGGAGCCACGAACGTGGCGCCAGCCACAGCAGCCATGCCTCTGCATGTGTTTCTTTTATCAGTGACCAGAATGGGTGCCGAGAGGGACCGGCTGTTCTCAGAGGACAACAGGATTCCAGCATTGTGGCTATAGCCCACTGAGGCCTGTAGAGCAAAACATTATTGGGGAATAATTCTCAAAAAGTGTTCAGTGTTTCCCAAACTGGTCCAAGAGGATCCACAGACAGTTCATGTTTTAGCTCCCTACTAGGAGCTGAGAGGGAGCAAAAATGTGGACTGTCTGGAAGGGAGTAAAAATGTGAACTGTCTGGACTGGCTGTGGGTCCCCGCAGACCATATTGGAAAACACTGTTTTAATTAATGCAATTATACTAGTTGCAACTGCATAAGTCTTTTAAACTGTAATGTAAACACATAAAACAATTAAAGAGGCCGAAACGTTACGGATGCAGAAAATATCCATGCAGTAATGCCAGCGTGTCGCCTCCAGGCCTATGAGCTCTGCCTACCTTGGGGGCGCTGGTAAGCGGGAGGGGGCCGCGGTTCTTCAGTCTGTCGTCTTCAGAGTCGGTGCAGCTTTTGCTCCTCTGACCCGGCCGGTTCTGGAGACTGCGGAGACAGGAGGAGGTCCGATCCCACTGATGCGTGTGCCAAATCGTTTTAATGAAACCACACAGACGGCACCTCAGCGTGAGTGTTAACGCAGAGGGCAGGAAGTGTGCGGTTATGATAAAATTAAATAATATCTGACTTGTTTTTAGCAAGCAGTTATCGATTAATGGAATACGTTAGCCCATGGATAAATAACATGCGAAAAATATGGATGCTGCTACTCCGAGGACAGAGAAAGCTTAAAATAATACATTCGACTGGCAGGCGGGCTCCGTATCTTGCGGACAAATGCAGAAACGTGTCTCGTCCTTCTTCCGATGGGCTCCTCGTTTTCTGAGTCAGACAGCACCCCGCACCACTGAGAAGAGACACATGGAAGCAGGTGACAATCAGCCCGAGATTTAAGCTGCTGACCAATACGACACGAGGTCCAGCAGGCGTCAGAGCAGAGCTACTCACTATGACAGCCCGAACAGGCCTGAAAGTGGGGGACACTTACAGAATTGTGGCGGTGCTTCAAAGACCCTCCATCCTCCTGTCTCAAGTGACCCTGTGGCCTTTGCTTTTCCTCGCTCATTTCTGCCTGAACAAGGAGGATTAGGGAGCAGTGACATCACTACTTAGCCTTAAGTGACGGTGAAAGGGCCTCAAACTGCAGATATAAACCTACCGATGCCAAGTCTTCAGGTCTCAGTCCAGCTTTAATCTCCACCTGTCTCCGGTCCACCTCGAAGATCTTCTGCAGTCGTTGTTCAGATACCTTTTCACCTTTCTGCTGTTCCAACTCCATCTAACAAGAAAATATGTTCCCCCAGGCACCACAGATAACACACAGATATTAACCAATACACCATGGGTTAAACAAAAAAAATATATTGATTTATTTTACAAATAAGGTCTAAATGGTGTGATAGAAACAGCCAGTTACAAATTCTGTGATTTGTGTACAGGTAACAAATACCCAAACTGCTTAATTAAAAAGAGTGAGCAGCACATCTCGATGCTCAGTGAATTAGACACTGTGAGGTTTGGTTTTAAAATGATGTCATGACTTCTTAGACCTTCAAACTCTGGGTTCCTGAGGAAGGTGGTTTCTTGTGTCCTCACAGCAGATGAAAGAAAAACTCTAAACAAACAAACAAACATAACTTACCCTTTTCTTTGTCTTGGTATATTCCTGCTGCTTTTCTCCTGACTTGCATATGTGGACCGGAGCTCTGAATATCACTGAGGAAGGAAGAGCAGCACAGACGTCTAGAGTGCCACTGGTGCCATGCAGATGCAGCACGACACACATGTGCTTCTCCCCTCAGATAGTGGCCAAGGAGCTAGTTTGGACTTTGCAGCCTGGAAAATGATTATGGCTTCAGCAGTCAGCTGAAGGTTCTGTTGTCATTACAAAACAGGCTCTGATTAAATTGAGTACTCTGTTAGAGAAACTTTGCCATCATCTGAACTGAAGACATCAGAACCACCCCCAACACACACACACGCGCACACACACACACACACACACACACACACACAACAATAAGCACACATGTCCGGGCAAGTCTGCCCACCTGCATCTCAGGCTCAGCCCTGCCGGTAAAAGAGTCACTCTCCTTACGCGGCTAGTTTTACTTTACAGGTTACTTTAAATGTTACTATGAAACCGTTCACTAAAACAGTGGTGACTTTTGTAAGGTCATATGGCGAACTGCTGTAACATAATAATAACAACAACAATAATACTAATAAACCCGACAACAAGTCCGGCTCTGCAGACGTAAACACAAACAGCGGCCCAGCACGGCAGCGTCTACGCTTAATCATGCAGGCAATAAAATGCGTCGCCGGTCCCGGCTGCACTCGCTTTTCCACCGCGACCCCCGACTAACCCCCGCAGATGTTTCGATACTAACTAGTTAACTAGTTTTCTGGCCAGCATCGCTAGACAGCTGTCAGTTAGCATGTGAACTTACTTTAAAAAGCGAGCTCGCCCGAGCGCCGTTTTTACCATAGCCACCGGGGCTATTGCCATTGTTACTATATTCATTACAGTCAAATAATAATAATTTTTAAAAGTGCCGCAAAGGTGCCGTCCGCGGCCGCACCTTCGGCCGGGGCCTCCCCCTCCCGCTGCTCCATTCTCCGCCGGCACCTCTCCGGGTAGCTCCGGCGTACCCTGTCCCATTGCCCGCTGTCCCGGGCCCAGCCGGACAACCGGAGCCGGCAGAGCGGGCAGCGCAGACTGCTGCGCTCCACCTTCTGCCTGAAACAGGCCGAGCACAGCGAATGGCGGCACGGCAGGGTTACGGGCCCCACAAAGACGTCCCGGCACACGGGGCAGCACGCATCGTCCTGCGTCAGGAGGCTGGCTGCAGCGCCGCCGACCGCCCAGCCCCTGCCCCTCGGCCGCTTCTTCCTCTCCGGTTCTCCGCTGGCGCACTTACCGGAGCTCAGCGCCGCCATCTTCTGTCCCTGCCTGTCGTGCGGGAGTCTCCGCCCAGCGTCTGCCGCCGACAGCGGCCTCTACCAGTACTACAACTAGCGGGTTAGAGTGGTTAAGGAAAAAAGTTTGTACTAATACTGTTTGGTAATACTGTTTAAAGATTTTTACACGGTATTACAAAGTTTAAAGCTACCCGTACTATTTAAGATATTTCTATAATGGTTAAACCGATGAACTGCAATGTGAAACTGTAAAATGAAAATCAGTTAACCCATTTTCAGTAAGTTAGTGCTGACCCAAGTTTGGCGGCTGGACCCTCAGTCTCACCCCAATTTAAGTCATAATTCATGAATCTGACTACAATTTCCTTTAAGATAAAGATAAAATCAAAAAAACATTAAAAATAAATACACAGGATCTGGGATTCGAAGCATGTTTATTATTGTAGTCCATATCATTTTTTGACACTATGAAGGCAGGTTTAGAAGCTTCGTTAATTTTTGAAAGTCACGCAGTGATGTATTTTCCATACATTTTTTGTATGCATATGTATTTTTCATATTTTATTGTACAACAGTTAAAGCCATTTACTCTTCATAAACTGAAATTGCCTGTCTGCTTAGCTAAAAGTTAAAAGTGGCTGAAAGCACAACATAAACATGGATGACCAGCTGATGGGGCCAGTGTTGGGAGACAATAGTCGTCGTCATGAGGACCAAACTGGAGTCACATGATGAGATCACGATGACTCAGTTATTGGGAGGGTCGGTCATTCAGTCTTCATTAAATATAAGAGACACAGCACCTGCAAGGACATAGAAAGCACCTAATTTTTTCACTGACAATATGACATCAGCACAATCGTGCTATGCTCTTCCTCAGCAATATTAATCCATATCAGTCTGTACATGTTTTAGGATTATATCTGTCCTTTAAATAAACTATTTGTGAACTGTTGCAGTCACTCCCTGTGGTATACCCAGGGGAACTGGAGCAGCATGGATATCTCGACAGATTTAGGGGGGCCAGCACTGTAGGGGTCCTAGAATATGCCAAGTTATAAGAGTATATGATTAGGGAACAATTTTACTGTGTGGGGTGTGGGGTAGTGTCCTGTATTTCTCCAGAAAGTAGTAACTAGTGATTAGCAAAGCAACGACTCATGAACCATGTGCAGAATTTTTTGACCCCACTAAATGGTACTTTTAGCTTGCATTCGGGAATGCTTTGAGTCCCTCTTTTTTTAAGACAGCACCATCTAGTGGGGACAAAAAATACTGCATATGGTTCATGAAGTGACATTCTTGCCATCACTACTGGTAACCATAGTGGGGGGTGGCAAAGGTGACATTTTGTCAGGGGGGCCCAGCATTTCTAGCTGCACCCCTGGGTATATCACACAACACGCACCCTAGGACAGCAACCTACACAAAATCCTTGGCACAGCCGAAGGGGATAAATTGCAGTTCTGTGGGCAGGCAGGATGAGCGGCACACCCCTCCATAGCTGGAGCAGTTCCAGGGAAACATTGCTGCTTCTTTCAGCTCACCTGTCATCAAACAGAATGGGAAGCAACTTACTTCTGTTTTTGCTGCAGATATGGAAATTTCTGGTCCAGAAAGTAAAAATCCAGACCATGATTTTGTTCCAACCAAGTTGAGTACTCTGTGACTGTGACTCTTAATACTCAACTGGTTGGTTGGAGCAAAATCTGGGTCTGAATTTGTACTTTCCACCTCTGTTCTGCTGGGAATCTGAGAAGCAGAAAGTGCGGGAACTGGCTGCTATTTCCTCGCATGATTCCTGAAAACAATTCCCTGACCTTTTCAAAGAATCTCACTAAATTAATACTCCTGGACAACACACATAAAATGAGCACGATTAGATAACATACATGCATCATAGGGGGTCATGGTTTACATGAAAGCTTTTCTCTTTATTGAGTTTATTTTAAATTCTAAACCGTAAACTTTGAACAGGAACCTATTTCAGAACATCTACCCATGGTAGTGCAGTGATACTTAAGTGGTTACACACCAGTAATTTTTTTAAGTGCTCTATCAGGGAAACATCACATCGGCAAAGACGCTACTCACTCCAGAGCAGAACAGAAAACTCTCTGGTATAAATGAAATTTGGCGTTTATTGCGGCAGACATTCTACACAGAACAGAAATGACAGAAAGAAGGTGTTTGTCACCACTCACGTGCAACGACAAGGAAAAGAAGAAGAACGAGGATCATCACATATTTATGGTTCATGTTGACTGTGGACATGCGGCTCCTTCTTCCTGACAGTCACAGCACTGGGATCTCTGAGTCCCCAAATGTCCTTTTTCGCCCCAAATTGTCCAAGAAGGAGGAGCCGGCATAGCTAGACAAGTCATAGGCCACGATCTTTCCTGAAACTTTTAATCCCTCAAATGCAATTATTTGCAGCTGGGAGCGATGAATAGCTGCATTGTGGTAAACTACATTTCAGGCATTTCGGGAGTGCTGGCGCTCAATAATGTGCTCACGATGCAGAGCCATTGGTTGAGGAACATGGCAGCACTGAGGCCAAAATTTGTTTGCCATGATTTCAGGCACATGATAACCCTCAGGACAGTAATTTCCTTGGGCTGGATGCATTCCACATAACTGCGAGGCACAGGAAGGCAGAGGGAGCGAAGGAACAGAATCAGAATCAGTTTTATTGCCCAGGAAAGGTGACAGTCACAAGGAATTTGACTTTAGTTTCATTCAATACAAACAAGACAAAAATCATTAGCTAATTAAAGTAGGCATGAAGGAAAATACAGGTATGAGGTAATAATAAAAAAATCTACTGCAATATTGCAAATAGTAAATATATACTCTAGATGTCTATACAAACTAGTTATTGCTAAAGTGAGACAGTGCATTAAATAACCTCTACTGTAAGTGGATGTGCAATGTTCAGCATTTAACAAAAACTGGAATACAGTATGACACGCTAAAATAAGAAATACAATTTCACAGTGTGGCTGAGGCAGACTTTTTACATTAAAGATAGACAGTGCATTAGATAAAATTTTTGAATACTATGCAGCATACATTGTGTGTCAAGATTAACAATATGCACAGTACTAAGCAGTAAACATAATGATCAACATCACTGTTCTTTTTTTTAGGGGATTAGGCATGAATGTATTAATCTTCAATCTGCCAATGCAGCATGGATCTATGTGATCCGGTGCTGAGCAGGACCACAGCCCTTGCAGAGAAACCGTCTCTGTACCTTGTAATTTTAGTTTTTAACTTTTTTTAACTAAAGAGAAGCTATAGAAGACTGTGCTGCAGTGAATAGTGTGTTATAACAACAACTTACAACTGCTTTTTAAAACTGAAGATTTGTGGAACACTAAGTTATACATGTAATTTTGTCAATAAATGAAGCAAAACCACTTGAGCCTTTTCGAATCCAAGTAAAATTGTCATAATAGACATTTAATGACGTTCAATCAGATTTGGATAAAAGAAGTCAATGATAAACATTTACGATGTATGAACCGTTATCCATATTCGCCAGCATTCTTATAGAGGATAAGAGCACTAGCACGAATTTATGGACGCATGCTACCATCTGCTGGCGTTATTAGGAAACAAGGGTTTCCAAAAGGCGACTTTTGCAGCCTGGCCTCGCAGTGCGGCCTTTTGACAGGAGAACCAGGATTAAACCAGGATATAAAGATGCAGATTTTTTTTTTTTTTTAAGTATTGGTCTCAATTTTTTTTCCAGAGCTGGATTTTTCATAAATAGACCAAATAATATAAGGCTTCTAAAACAAGCAATCTAACAATATTAGATATGTAATTATTTTTAGCAAATGGTCAAAGTCTATCTGTTCCCTGGCAAGGAATACATTGTTTCAGAATCTTTAGTACTTTAACTAGGGTTAACACCAAATCCATGTCAGAGAGGACACTTTGAGCTACTTTAGGTTATACAAACTACTTTAAAACTGAAAGGCTCGTGTTCGTAGGTAAATAGTTCAGTTCTTTTTGTGTTTTGACTGGTTTGTTTCCTTGAATGAACGACTCATCCAGCTGTTTCACATGAACTTTAGTGATACGTGCATGATTACAGGAGACTGACCAATCAGTACACAGCAACAACTCAGTGATTAAGTGAAATTCAGGTCATATTAAGGGAAATTGTAGTTTGTAAACCCTGTCCCAGCTCAAAGTATCCTTCCTGACATGGATAAGGGTGTAACCCTAACTAACCCTAACTTTAATCCAATAAAACTCTATGCAAAATTTTGGCCGATCATGTGTGTTCATTTGTCTGAGATGCAAATATGTTTTTACTAAAAAAAAAAAACACATTATAAACAATTAGAATCTGTGGCAGTTGTACTGTTATGTACAAACTTCTCTTAATTCTATCAAATTTTTGATTTTGGTCTTACGAGTAAAGACAGTTTGGATCGTGTTCAATGCATAACAAAAATGTTATGTCGGTTTTTATGAGGGAATAAATTCCATTTTACCAGCAGAATTGATAGTCATATACAACATTTGTCCACTAGGTTGTAGTATTGATGTAAAAACTATATACTTGAGGGAGCAGCCTTGCCTTCTGCCTTGTGCTACTTATGATATATTCTAGGTGTGAGAACGCGACGCAAAAAATTGCAGCAAGATGGATGGTTAAGTGCAACTTAAAGTTTTCGACACAAGAGGGCACCACACCCCACCATTTTGATTTTGCAAAATGAAACATACTAGTCATTAGCTACGACTGTTTCACTGAAAAATTTATGCTGGTAACAATTTAAAAGAGACTTAGGGGCCTCATCACCAGTAACAGCAGGGTTTGCATCAGTAACCTATGAAAATAAAGAAAGCCCGGTATTGCTATTTTATAAAAATAAGAGAACCTATAATGTCTTCTCTAGATAACAAGTAAACAAGCTGACACATAAGTAAGTCCTTTTTGAGTTTATAGCATTTTAACTTGACTTTGAATAAATAATTCTAACCTCTTTGTTTTATTT